TGGTTATCACTTACCTTTCAGGCACAATAGGGGTAAGCTCCTAACTCGCTACTCACCAGACACTGAAGGAAAACAATCAAAGTACCTGATCTCTAATCATGTAACCACTCAAAGACTGATCGAACCTCTCAAAAACTTCACCAACAAGCTGTCCTATTGTCATATTCCTTATGGTGTTCATGAGGCCTTGGAAGATCCAAAATGGTCCCGAGCCATTCAAGAAGAAATGGAAGCACTAGTAAAGAACAAAACATGGGATCTTGTTCCGCTGCCAGAGGGGAAGAAAACAGTTGGGTGTAAATGGGTGTTTTCCATTAAGTATAAGGCAAATGGATCCATGGAAAGATACAAGGCGAGACTGGTAGCCAAAGGCTATATACACAGACATACGGAGTAGACTATCAGGAGACATTTTCTCCAGTGGCAAAGTTAAACACCGTCAGAGTTTTGTTGTCCTTGACAGCAAATTTAGATTGGCCACTACACCAATTCGATGTAAAGAACACTTTTTCTTCATGGAGATCTTGAGGAGGAAGTATATATGGATATCTCACAGGGGTATATGTCATCACCCACCATTGGAATTGTGTGCAAGTTACAAAGAGCTTTATATGGACTGAAGCAATCATCGTGTGCTTAGTTTGGTCGTTTTAGCATGGCCATGAAAAAGTATGGTTTTCACCAAAGCAACTCAGATTATACTATATTCCTAAAACGACGACAAGGGAAGGTAACTGCTTTGATAATTAATGTGGATGACATGATCATTACAGGAGATGATGAAGAAGAAATCTGAAAGCTACAAAAATAGTTGGCTATCGAATTTAAAATGAAGAACTTGGGAGGACTTAAGTATTTCTTAGGAATTGAAATGGCTACCGACACTTCGATGGTTCAGAATCAGAAATTTGGAGAATATTCTGATCATGTACTAACCAATAAAGAAAGATATCAACGACTGGTGGGTAAGTTGATTTACCTATCTCATACTCGTCCAGATATTTCTTATGTTGTCAGTGTAGTCAGTCAATTTATGCATTGTCCTAGTGAAGACCATATGGATGCAGTGGTTCGGAAACTTCGTTACCTGAAATTAACTCCAGGGAGGGTCCTTATGGTCTTCAAGAGTGGCCACCTAGACGTTGAGGGTTATACAGATACTGATTGGGCATGAAGTACATCTAATAGAAAATCTACTTCTGGGTACTTCACTTTCATCGGCGACAACTTGGTTACATGGAGGAGTAAGAAACAGAAGGTAGTAGCATTGTCAAGTGCTGAGGCTGAGTTTTGAGGAACGGCTAAGGGTCTTTGTGAACTTCTCTGGCTTAAAAGATTACAATCAGAGATTGGTTTTGCTCCCAACTCAGAAATGAAGTTGTATTGTGATAATAAAGCTGCAATTGAAATATCTCGTAGCCCGGTTCAACATGACCGTACTAAGCACATCGAGGTAGATCGACATTTCATTAAATAGAATCTCAAAGAAGGAGTGATTCGTTTTCCATTTGTCAAGTCAGAGGATCAACTTGTTGTTGGTTTCTCAAACCGGATTTTTTAAAAAAAAAATGTGCGTAAGAGTGGTATCGATCGAATCAAATAAATTAAAATTTAATGCGATCATTATTTCATGTTAATTTAACTACAAATATATTAAAGAGAAGAATGACAATTTTACCGTCGTTCGATTAGGACATAAATCTTGAACTCTTCCAACACCGTCTTGAGCTCTTAAATTCTAAGAACACCACGATTCTTTCTCAATGTATCTCTGGATTAACGTGAATTAGAACGTGTGGGCGTTCTAAAGGGTTTCTCAACACATGAGACGGATGAATAGGGAGCCACCTATAGTTATCACTCACTTTTCTCAAAAGTATGTGATAGCACTCAAGAGATTTTCTTTAGTTTTTCTTTTTTGTTCTCCCGTTTCTCACTTTTTCTTTTCTCTCAAAAAATTCCCTTTTGTTTTTTGTTTTTTGTATGTTGTGTAAAACTACTGAGGACTCATCCCTTTTTGAGTAAATGTGCAGCCGCACATTTAGTCCACTTTTCCTCATGCTGAGGAAACGTGCAACAACACGTTTCCTTTCACTCCCCTTATTATTATTTTTTTGAGTGAGGAAGCGTGCGCTACTGCAGGTTTCCTTTCTTATATATATATATATATATCTAAATTAATAATCATAACCCAATATGATATATTCAGTTCACATTAATCTTATGGAGCCGTTGAGAGGAACTATAGACATTATAATTTTAAGCTCCAATAATTTTAACAATTAATTAACACCTTAATTAATATATCAAAATTATTAATTCCAAATTATTCCACTATAAATTTGGAATTGCACTCTTAAAATAATAAAAAATAATTATGTTCACAGAATTTGTGTTGTCCATTGATATAGTCATTACATACGAATTAATCCTCCATAAACGGTTCATAATTAAAGCTAGGTATTTTTCGTTGACCTCTTTAATTATATCTTTCTCCATAAGTACCATTGATCCTCTAATGAATAATATATTTTATGATCTAATCATAAAATTGAGCGCTCTTATTATTCAATCCCCGAATCAACACTTATGGGAGCCGTCCATCTACTTCATTATGAAGGAATGGATTTCATCTTGTAAATTAATATTTTCGGCTATTTATTTTACTATGCTCCCAATATACCAAGACTTTGATACTATTCACATGTGTCATTACTCAATATGTCAAAGAACGTAATATCATAAATAAGAGTTTATTAATTACTCAGAATTAAGATTAATTCATATATGACCATCATTGATTAATATTGAATACTTTATTTAATAACGGAATTTATTAGAGATCCATAATTAATCGCGTTCTGGTCATATGTAATCATATTACATAATATGCTTTCATTCCAATAATCTCATTATTAACAATCTAGGATAAGATTATTTCATTCAGAATGTAATGAACCGCATTAGTAATTTTAAATTAAAGATCCAAACTTTAATTTATAATTACGGACAAGTTTAGATTATTTTATTTCAAACATTATCCTCTGCATATAATACTTATATACAATGTGTAAAGTTACATCTAAAATAATATAGGGATTTTAATATTTATAAAACATCACATGCATGTAAAATAATATTGAAAAAATTCCTCATTTTATTAATAATTAACAAAATATTTACATCTTATTTAATTTATGGGCATATATCCCAACTCTTGCTGATATACTTACAAAAGCAGTCTCTAGCAAAACCTTCCACAGCTCACTTGACAAGTTGGGTATTGAAGACATCTTTACACCAACTTGAAGGGGAGTATTGGCGTGAGCTGTACTGATTGAGAGTTTTTTAGGAAATGGTAGTTGACTATCTGTAATTATATCCCGATTGTATGGGATTTTCTTCTTTTTTATTTTCTTGTCAAAGATAGCGCCTGTATCAATGGTCATTGGTTTGTATATATATATGTGCTCAGTACCTTGACGAATATACATCAGAAAACTTTTTATTCAAAATTCCTGAGTTATCAAGTGATACTGCTATATTAACGCAATCAAAATCGAAAATTTTCATCCTCATTGTGAGTGTTAAAGTTAGTGGGATTCTTACTGAAATCCTTTTTGAGTGGGAGTTCCACCGAAAGCCTTGTGATCATGATTACTGTACTGAGTTTTATGTTAGTGGGTTGCTGGACTTGGAAGAAAAGAAACTTCCAAACTATTGAAACATGAAATTAAAAATAAATATTTGCTTATTGCTTTTCGTTAGTTCTAGTTTTCTATTTGTTCTACTAACAATCTTTTCTCCATAATTTCACTTTCCCTCTATTAAAACTTACGTTTAGGTATGAGAACTTAGATCTATTACCATTCTGTAGCGGCAGTGTACCAACTTTGAAAGTGGCAGGCAAATAAAAGGGAGAATTCGAGAATGTCGATGACTTGTAAAGTAAAACTATAATAGTTACTCCTTTTTATTATTGAAAGTTTTTTTTTTTTTTTTTTTTTTTTTTCTCTCTCTCTCTCTCTCTCTCTCTCTGTGCTGTTTCTCCCTGAAATATTAGTATTAATGTGACAATTTAGTTCCGATTTCTTTTGGTTGATTAGTAAATATAAGTAATTACGTCTCGTTACGAAATATATTAAAAGTTTACATAAATAGTCGCATAAAGTTCAAATCGATCTTTTTCAATCCCTTGAAATCTCATAAAAGTTAATTATTTATGATTCAAGCGACATTTTTAAAATTTTATCGCATAATTGATATACAAAACACCTATGTTAAATTTAAAAATCTTTCAATATTAGGGCTAGAGAGCCAAAATTGTCAAAATAATAAGGCTTTAGCTCAATCAGAAAAAAAAAAAAAAAAAAGAGAACTGAACTGAACTGCCACATTTATGCAAATTTAAGGATTGATCATGGATGACTCAAAGGCGGAAAAAAAAAAAAGCTGAAGAAGGAAAAAGAAAAAAATAACATTATAGCCGCACGTTTAGAGAAAATATTTTCCCCCACTACCGGAAAATTTACGGTGATATCCACTATTACATATGTTGCATATGGACCGCCGCATTATGTAAACACATCAATTCAAAAATAAAATAATAAAGAGAAAAACAAGAAGGAAAGTGAAACTAATCATGAGCATGAAAATTTAAATGAGAGTGCTAACATTTTCCAAATATTAAAAGCTTTTTATTTTATTTTATTTTATTTTAATTAAACCATATATCTAAAGTTTTAACTTGCAATAGTAGCGTTTCTAACATTTATAATGTAGGTTCAATAAAAAACATTGATAATGTAGGTCCTAAATTAGTTGTGTTTTTAATTGGAAGCAAATTAATCCGGTTTCGCATATATGGGTGCCCATTCATGTATATAAATGGCCATTGGCCCACCTAATCCTATCTAATCATTATTCATTACTACTACCAGCAATACAAGAGTCTTCCCCAGTTCAGTGAGAGCTAAAAAACTCGCATTTCAGCAGCCTATGAGGGCAAAAAAAATTCCAACAAGAAAAGAAAAACGGCAGAGAAGAAGACGAAGATGAAGATGAAAATACTCCTCTTCATACTTGCTCAAACACATGTGCTCCTGACTCTTCCCAATTTCTACGTAGCAGCAGACGACAGACAAGAACAGAAAACGACGTACATAATCCACATGGACAATTCCAACAAGCCAGCAGTTTTTGAAGATCATGTCAACTGGTATGATTCCTCTTTGAGATCGGTATCGGACTCCGGCGAAATGCTTTACACCTACAACAACGTAATCCATGGCTTCTCCACAAGCCTCAACTACAAAGAAGCAGAGTTGCTCAAAATACAACCGGGTGTTGTCTCTGTTATTCCCGAAACCATATACGAGCTCCACACAACTCGGACGCCAGACTTCCTCGGACTAATGGAGGAGAACGCTAGTAATTCCATTTTACCTTCGCCGGGAAAAGTCGGCAACGTCGTGGTCGGCATGCTGGACACCGGAGTTTGGCCCGAGATCAGAAGCTACGACGACACGGGGCTCGGCCCGGTGCCGAGAAGCTGGAAAGGAAGCTGCGTAGTAGGGAAGAACTTCAACTCCTCGAGCTGTAACAGAAAGCTGATCGGAGCGAGGCTTTTCTCAAAGGGATATGAGAAAAGAATTGGACATTCGATCGACGAGAAAGTGGAATCGAAATCGCCGAGAGACGACCACGGCCATGGAACTCACACCTCAAGCACCGCAGCCGGGTCGGCTGTCGAAGATGCTGGATTTTTGGGCTATGCTTCCGGGACAGCACGCGGAATGGCCACTGCGGCACGAGTCGCTGTTTACAAGGTTTGCTGGCTCGGCGGATGTTTTGGCTCCGACATAATCGCAGCCGTCGATAAAGCCATAGAAGATGGCGTCCATGTTCTATCAATGTCCTTCGGTGGAGGCTCCCCTGATTACCATTCCGACAACGTCGCCATCGCAGCTTTTGCAGCCACAGCACGAGGAATCCTAGTATCCGCCTCGGCCGGAAACAATGGACCGCGTTTTGGGACCTTGTCTAATGTCGCGCCTTGGATAACCACCGTCGGAGCGGGGACACTGGACCGTGATTTCCCTGCTTATGTTAAGCTTGGAAACGGGAAAACATATAAAGGCATTTCGCTGTACGGCGGGAAACCTTTGTCTGATAAGGTGTTGGTTCCGATTGTCTCAGCTTACAACGCAAGTACCTCAACCGACGGTCGTCTATGCTTGGTAGGCACTTTGATTCCCGAAAAGGTTGCTGGTAAAATAGTGATATGCAACCGAGGGAGAATGCAGAGGACCCTAAAGGGTTTGGTGGTGAAAGACGCTGGTGGAGTTGGCATGATTTTAACCAGCAACGACATTTCTAATGGTGAAGAGCTAGTCGCGGATGCGCATTTTTTGCCCACAGCAGCTCTTAGCCTAGAAAAAGGAAATGAGATTAAAAAATATGCGGATCATGTGGCTAATCCAACAGCCACAATCATTCAAGGAGGCACAAAGTTGGGAGTTCAACCTTCGCCAATAGTTGCAGCCTTCAGCTCCCGGGGTCCAAATCCAGTCACCCCAGAGATACTCAAACCAGACGTTATAGCCCCTGGGGTGAATATCCTTGCTGGATGGACCGGTGCCGCGGGTCCAACTGGATTGGGCCTTGACAAGAGACGGGTGAGATTCAACATCATTTCAGGCACGTCAATGTCTTGTCCTCACGTAAGCGGCCTTGCAGCCCTTCTCAAGGCTGCACATCCCGAATGGAGCCCTGCTGCTATTAAATCGGCCCTCATGACCACCGCCTATTCGACCTACAAACAAGGTGAAACCATAAAAGATGTTGTCACCACGAGTGCCGCGACCCCGTTTGATTTCGGGGCTGGCCATGTGGATCCAGTGGCGGCACTTGACCCTGGCCTTGTCTACGATGCTACCGTTGAAGACTACATAAACTTTTTGTGTGCCTCTAATTATACTCCGGAGCAGATTAAGACCGTCACTAAGAGGGATTTTACCTGCAATGTGAGAAAGAAGTACAGTGTGGGAGATCTTAACTACCCATCTTTTTCCGTTACTCTTGGAAAGGCATCAAGAAGAGTGACATACACTAGAAACCTAACAAATGTTGGTGCCCCTGCAACATATAAAGTCTCGGTATCAAAGGTTGACGCAGTGAAGATCTTGGTCAAACCCAAAGCGTTGACTTTCAAGCAGACGTATGAGAAGAAGACTTACACTGTCACATTTGTTGCGCGTTCTATGTTAAGGAATACAATACGCTCTGCTCATCTGGAATGGTCCGATGGAAAACACATTGTTAGGAGCATTGTTGCTTTTAGGTGGACATAAGAAGTACTATAGAATTCAGTAGCAAAAAAAGAGAGAACTATAGAATTGAATGATATGGTTTCTCTCTTTATTTATTTTTAATAGGCTTGAGATATAGCTGGTGTATTAACTCTGGAGGGGTCGTTTGTTAAACAGAACAAAGTGTACACCACTTTGTGTGTCATTTTAATTTATCTTCTCCTCAGTTGGTACGTTCCTTATAATTAAGAGTGTTCATCAAATCCATCCAATTCACATAATTCAATCCAATCTGGTGAATTGGATTGAATTGAAATAATTTTGGATTAATAATAGATTGAGATTTTCCCAATCCGTAGTTACGGATTGGATTGTAGATTGTCGCTTTCCAATGTGTGTTTTTTTATGTTTTATTGTTGATATTATTATGAATAAGACTTTAGCTTTTATTTTATTTTATTTTATTTTTTTGCTGAAAGGAATAAGACTTTCGCTTTTTGGTTAATGTTGTTGTTATGAAATGTTGGCATAGATTTTAATGTCGTCTTTGCCTTTTGAATGTCGTTGTTTTTTGGATTTTGTTGCGCTATTAATGTGTCGTTCACTACCGTTACTGTTCGATATATTTTGTTGTATTTCTTAGAGTGTTGTTGACATGTTTACTTTGATTGTCGTTTTTAGCGTACTATTCTTTGTTCATGTCGCTACTTGACTAATTGTATTCTTAAATGTCGTCTCAAAATTTATTGTCGTTTTTAGATTGCCATCCATTTCAAAGCTGTCTTTGCTTTTTGAATGTCGTTGTTGTTGTTTCCTTTTGTTGCCCTTTTTAATATTTACTTTGTTTTTTTTTAATAATAATATATACTTCGTCGTTAGCGATCTCATTTGAAATATTTAATCATCGTTTTAGGTTGTTGTTGTCGTAATCACTTATGGTTTTTAAGGTTCGTCGTTTCCTTCTCATCCTTCTTCAAGTAATTCTTTCTTAATTTCCACTTGAAAAGATCCTCTTGTCCCCGTTTTTGTCATACTCTATTACCTTTGTTGCGTTGCAGAGTTTAAAAATTAATATAATTTTAGCTGTATTGAAATTAGTCTAATGATCTTGGCATCTTACTAGGAAGTTTTATTTATTAAATAGATTGATAATGAGGCCTTACTCTCAATAGTGTCACTTTTATTATTTGCTTTGGTAGTGTGTACATCACTAATAATCTAAACGATATTAAATCGGATAAAATAAGTGGATCATGATCGGCGTTTACATCTTTTTAATAAGAAAAAGCTGCAACCACGTTTTAGATCATAATCAAATGTAAAAAGAAAGAAAAAAAAGGTTTTTATTTTTATTTTTATTTTTTATGGGGCTTGGTATAAAGCTTTTTGTGAGTTTAAACTTCAGTGAGAGGTGCATTTTCTTGAATTGCTTACTTATTTCGTATTTTTTTATTAGAAAAAAAAGTCTCTTCATTTTGTTGATTGGTTATTTTTTTCTCTTAGGTTCTTCCGCATGCTCCACATGAATGGGTAGTTGTAGGAAAGAAAGAAAAAAAATAGATGATATGATAAACGTGCCGTAAACATGCACTTAAAAAAGAAGAATTTGTTTATTAATTCCAGTTTGTAACTTCTAACATATAATTATCCACCTTCATCATGTTCTATTTAAGAGCAAACTCGGAATACAGAGTCCTAACTAACAAGTTCATTAATTATATTCACTAAAAACAGGAAGATGAAGATAAGTGATCCCTTCATACTTCTACTAGCAGTTGTATTGCTTTTGAGTCTCTCCCACTCGCACGTAGCTGCAATATATGATCATGAAAGTCGTGAACAACCCAAAGAGACTTATATCATCCGCATCGATAAGTCTCTTAAGCCAGCAGTTTGAAATCGGTTTCGGAATCAGCCCACATGCTTTACACCTTCAACAACGTAATCCACGGCTTCTCCGCGAGTATCACCGAAAAGGAAGCAGATTTGCTCAAATACCAACCCGGTGTTCTCTCTGTTATTCCCGAAACCATATACGAGCCCCACACAACTCGGACGCCGGACTTCCTCGGACTAACGGGGAAGAACGCAGCGCTCTTCCCTGCGCCGGATAAAGTTGGCGATGTCGTGATCGGAGGTTTCGACAGCGGCGTTTGGCCCGAGCTCGAAAGCTACAACGACGCGGGGCTTGGACCGTTGCCGAGCAGATGGAAAGGGGTTTGCGAGGTGGGCACTGACTTCAGCTCGGCGAGCTGCAATAAGAAGTTGATCGGCGCAAGGTTCTACGTAAAGGGATATGAGAAAAAGATGGGACATCCAGTCGACAAGACGGTGGAATCAAGGTCACCAAGAGATGACACCGGCCATGGAACTCACACCTCGAGCATCGCAGCGGGGTCAGCCGTAAAAAACGCCAGCTTATTGGGATACGCTTCGGGAACAGCACGCGGGATGGCTACCGCGGCCCGAGTTGCAGTGTACAAGGTTTGCTGGATCGGCTGATGTTTCGGCTCCGACTTCATCGCAGCCGTCGATGATGCCATTGGAGACGGCACGGACATTTTGTCTATGTCTTTAGGGGGCCGGCACGCGAAGGAATACCACTCCGACAACTTTGCCATTGCGGCTTTCGCGGCGACAGAGCATGGGATCCTAATATCGGCCTCGGCGGGAAACAGTGGACCCCATGCGCAGACTTTGGCCAACTATGCACATTGGATGACCACTATTGGCGCCAGGACAATTATTACGAGAAAAGAACAGATTTGCATGATTATAGGAAATGACATTTGTTGATTATAGGATTGTAAATCATTGACTTTTTGATTGATTGTAATTGATTGTCTATACATAGTTTCCTAGAATAGGTTAGCTGATGTATTTTATAAACGCATGCTTTTTCTTTTGTAAAATTCAATTTTCTTAAATATACAGAAAATTCATACATTCCAGTTTCTCTTTTCATGGTATCAGAGCACCAAATCTGGTGACTCTGAAATTTTTCAAACACTTCTGCAATCTCTTTTTCTGTCACAATCGCCACCATGAGAGACAAAGGCAGTAACATAACAGAATTGATACCGTCTAAGGCTACCATAGAAGCCTCAGACCCCTATTCTCTACACAACTCAGACCACCCGGGTATTGTACTCGTATCCAAGATGCTTGAAGGAGACAACTACAGTACGTGGAGTCGAGCTATGTGAATTAGCTTGAGTGCTAAGAACAAGATTGGTTTTGTCACAGGTTCAATCAAGCCACCTTCTTCAACAGATGAAAGTTTTCCTTCTTGGCAACGGTGCAACGACATGGTGATGTCTTGGCTATTGAATCCATCCATCCGGACATAGCAAGCAGCGTGATCTATGCCGAAACTGCAGCAGAAGTCTGGGCAGATCTACAAGAGCGTTTCTCTCAAGGAAACGATTCAAGAATTTATCAGATCAAACGAGATATTGTGGAACATAGGCAGGGGCAGCAATCTGTTTCAGTCTACTACACAAAGCTTAAAGCTTTTTGGGATGAACTTTCATCTTATTACGAGGCTCTATCTTACTCGTGGTGGGTTGGATAAACTCAACAAAAGAGATGAAAAAGAAAGAGTAATGCAATTTCGGGATTGAATGATAGTTATGCTGCTATTCGTGGACAAATCTTATTGATGCAACCTCTACCCGATACACGTCGGGTTTATTCACTCGTCCTCCAACAAGAAAAGCAGGTTGAGATCTCTCTAAATCGTGGGAACATGAACCATCTTGCTATGTTTCCAGATCAAAATATCAAGACGACTCAAGCACATCAGATTTAAAAGCAAAAGACGCCGCTACACTGCTCTTATTGTGACCGTGACTATCACTCTATTGACAAGTGTTACTACCTCCATGGCTTTCCGTAGGCCACAAGCTTCATGGGAAGAAGGTGAAGCCTCCCAACCAGCGCCACTCGAATGCAAATAATGTGAAGGTAGAAACAAACAAGGCAGTGGAGACAGGAGCACAATCCCTTTCAACAAATGATGGACCAAGGTTCACAACAGAGGAATACAATCAATTAATGGCTATGATTAGGAAAACTAATGATGGTAACTCACAACGTTTTGCAAATGCCACAGGTATTACTGCATCATTATCCAAAATTAATCAAGTTGCTCCACACTCAAATTTATGTTGGATTATTGAAAGTGGAGCCACTGACCATGTGACTTCCTCAGTTGAATTATTAGATCCAAAAGGTTTGCCCAAGACAGCCACCATTAGTTTGCCAAATGGTGACCAGACACATATTGAGTCGATTGGCTCATTGCATTTTACACCTCAGATTAAGCTTGATGAAGTTCTCAAAGTTCCACAATTTCGAGTTAATTTACTATCAATTAGTAAACTAACACGAGCATTAAAATGTGCAGTAATTCTTTACCGATTTTGTATTGTGCAGGACGCTGCTACGAGGAAGATGATTGGCCTGGGCAAGCAACATAATGGCCTCTACTACCTAGCACAAGACCAAAACGCAGCCTTGGCCTACACCACCCGCAAACATTCTAATCTTTGGCACCAACGTCTTGGGCATCCAACACCTGGTCCGCTTCAAGTTCTCACCAAAATTAATCATGCAATTTATTTTGATTCTAAACATGTTTGTGAAATTTGTCATTTAGCCAAACAAACTCGTTTACCATTTCCATCTAGTTCAATCTCTTCTCAAGCACCTTTTGATTTGATACATTGTGATATTTGGGGACCACATCAAATAAATTCCCATTTTGGGGCTTATTATTTCTTAACAATTGTTGATGATTTTACTTGATATACCTAGATACATCTCATGAGCTTTAAATCTGAATCACAAGGGATATTACAATCGTTTATTTCTTAGGTGGAAACACAATTTAATTGTCGAGTCAAAACTCTTCGAACTGATAATGGTACTGAATTTGTTTCTATGAAACATTACTTTGATACTAAGGGAATTAATTTTCATCACTCATGCACTTCAACTCCCCAACAAAATGGGGTGGTTGAGAGGAAACACCGCCATCTTTTAAATGTGGGAAGGTTTGAATATTCA